AAAAAATTTTCATTTTTTTTTTCCAACCTCGGAGTTTTGAAAAAATTTTCATTTTTTTTTTCCAACCTCGGAATTTTAAAAAAAATTTCATTTTTTTTCCAATCTTGGAATTTTGAAAAAATTTTCATTTTTTTTTCCAACATCGCAATTCGCCTCAATGTAGAACTTATGTGTTCAAGCATACAGGATCCTCTACTACACTTTCGGCACCAAAACCTAAGTAATACCCATCTCATCTACTGCATCTCTTGCAGTAAATGTGGCATGCTTCATATCGGGAAAACTGGAAGACTTCTGAGGATACGGTTTGATGAGCGTCGGCGTGCTGTCATTGGCAATGGTGCCAACCAACATATTGCCTCACTTTAATAGTGACAATCACAGCGTCTCAGGCATGAAAATTCGAAGCACTTCGTCCCATTTCTGGCCGCGAAAAAACATGAAATGCGCGTCATCTTCAAGCTTAGCACTATCCACCCCTGATGGTACAGATAGACGTTTTTCTTATGTTTAGCTATATCTGTCCGTCCCTAACTTTAAATCTCACCATATTGCTTTAAATCTCACCATATTCACTAATATGCTATGCATTTTAGTGAATCACCCAGCAGCTTTCGTTTCTTTTTCTTTGTACTATATTCTGTAATGCGACTTTCATTTCTTGTTTGCACTTTGGCCTTGACCAAATCAATCTGATTGGTCTTTTTTGTCACGTGACCTTTTATATTCACTAGTATAAAAGCATATGTATTTTCTCCGGTTATGCTATTAGAGACTTTAAGATCTGCAGTAGCGTGGCAACGCGACGAAGACAACAAGTAATACAATGTAGTTAATAAATATTAAAGACAAGAAATAAAGAATTAAAATCCCACTGGATATTTAGATATTGTCCTCGGTTTGTTTACAAGCGGTAAGCCAGAGTTTTTACGTCTTGTGTACAGCGTTTGCATTTTAGTCATGTAAGAAGTGGATACTCGGCAAATTGGTTCGGTGCAAATGTGAAACTCTACTCAATAAAAAGCTTTGTTTTGATCTCTTCAAGCCGTGCTAAATTTATACGATTGATAAATACACGATAAGCTTCCTTTACAATAATTTATTTGGATGAAGTTTTGGCCGTCGTCGTCACTTTGTCGTTCCACATCTTGAGGTTTGTTCTAAGTTCTCGACGACGAGCCTTCTCGCTCAAAACGTCGAAGTTTCCTTGTATTTTTCAGGTAGTTGAATCCTAGGGAAGCCGTGAAGGGACTTCAGACTTCAGACTTTGTACTTTAGAATTCAGACTTCAGGCACTGAGAGTAAAGATCAGTAACAGAAGGGTCACTCAGCGCAAAGTGTCGGTCAACATGCGTAATGCAACATGCGCGAGGACAGAAGTTTCAAAGCTTAATTTAATTTAATTTATTAACTTCGCCAGAGAGTCTTAACGGTTATTACAAAGTAATAATTTAATGAATTAACTAAATAGACTATTTGGCACGCAGGGTATTCGCAACAGCGATTAGCCTATTACTGCGAACCCAAGAGCAATACGTTAACATCAAATAGCAAAAAAACTGACAACTATATGCATTTATGCAACTACAGTAAGTAACTATTTAGCTAGCTACGGCAACTGATCAAGCTATGATGATAACATCCATCCCCTGCATAGAAATTGAACAAATCAATGCATGCTAAGTGCTAACGACTTTATAAGCATGGCTGGAGCAGTTGCCATGTAGCTAGCTGTGCTGAAATTTTCAATAACAGCAAGATATTGGAGACGCTAAACTACGAACACAGTTACACTTCAAGCATAAAGATCTAAATGTTCGCGGGTTTACAGGATTATAAGCAGTGTCATGCAGCCAAGGTAAAATAAAGCTTCTAACATAAGTGGCCTTTCTGTACGGATTTTTATCATACGTTTCAGAATTCAGATTTCAGACTTCGGACTTCAGACTTCGGACTTCAAACATTGGTTCCGAGCTTCAATATAATAGCCAACTTTGCTTTTGCGTTCTTCTCAGAATCACTTTGTTTTTGCATTATTCTCTATTTTATACAGTTAGCTACTTCTTAAATGCTTCTGCTGGTTGAGAAACAACATAATAGTTAAAAATTGTCAATTAAAATACAATTATCAATGATGCTTTAAAATTGACGCCATATAAGCAAAACTTACTGAACTTCAGACATAATTTTCTCTTTGGCGTATCATCAAAATTTCTTCAATTTAGCATTATTTTATAAATAAAGCATTTAAACATACTTTTTAAGTTTGTTTGCCGATTGAGAAACGTATCGAAATATAAAAATTTTGAATTTAGTCATAACCTCAAGTGGTATATTATACGCATTAGTTTTGAGCGCGTGTTACGTAACATACTTAACTTGATAAATTTACAGAATAAAGTTAATAAATTTACTGCAGTAATACATTTTCGTAGTGTTTCCACAAACAATAATATTATATGTTTTATTGCCCTGAGTTTAAACCTACAAAGAACTCACGGACACATTCCAACAGTCTGCATTTACAGTCTAAATCATTCTGACCATTTTTGACCTTAGTTTAATAGCTTTGACTGAATAAGTGCCTTAAATATTAGCCAGCTTCGCAGAAGCAATGTTGGCTATTAGCGAAGCTCGGAACGAATGTTCGAAGTCTGAAGTCACTTCACGGCGTCCGTAGAATCCATCTCAATCCACAACTTTCTACGCATAATAAATTTTCATGCGATGTAGAATTGTTCAACTTTATATCGTCTTGTTAATGTCGTTGAACTTTGTCATCTAGATCTTTGGGTATTATTCCAGAGGGAAAAGTTATGAGGCATAAAAAATACTTTAACTATTAATTAATATCTCTCAGTCAAAATCTCTCCGTGGAGCATTTCAGGTCCAATTACGATTCTCAAATGACATAGTTAAATTACCCAACTAATATCTATTTATTTGTTAAGCTTTGCCAACTAGGACAGGGTCACCACAACAGCACATGCCAATTACTGTGGGCCTTTTAACCTAACCCACCCGGTCAACTTTCCCTGTGGGAGGAAACTGAATACCCGGAGAAAACCCACGACTTTCGGCAGAGCGTTGACTTTTACTCTTTTCACATGAGTACTGCATGGGTTCGAGTCGCGTTGAGAAAGTTCTCACTGAGGCTTGAACCTACGGCCTTAGAGGTAGAAGGTAAGTGCGCTAACCACTTTGCCACCGAAGCCTCTATAAATCACAAATATATCAATAATTAAATAAATTATCAAATAGAATTAAGCAATCATAAATGTATGAAATTCACACACTCAAATTTCCATCTAAAAATTCCTTCAACAATTACTTTTATCGAGTGAGATGGCCACCGTAACATTGGCATCATCGTAGTATACAGCTATTTCAATTAAGGTTGTCCCGAGCAACGCGAAAAAGTCAAATACAAGCGCAAAGGGCTTACTGGAAATCGCTAAAAAATTATTGATATTTTAGCGATTCCCAGCAAGCATTTCGCGCTCGTATGAAGGCTTCTCCCGCTTTGATCGGGGACAATAATAGTATAATTTCCATGATTTTTATAGCGCACATATCCAAAAGTCCAAGACGCTGTACAAATAGAGAGAATTAATTAAATACAATTATTTACAATTATACACATATACTTAAATAATTAGCAGTGGCGCCGCTAGCTCGATAATTGGGGGGGGGGGCAAATATTCATATCTTCGTGTTCTGCATTATTAACTTCTTTTGAAATCGATTGTTTTTATGGTCTGTGAACACAAATATATAAATATTCGCCACAATTATCGAGCTGGCGGCCTCACTGATAATTAGAAACTTACAAACCCATCTATATCTATAAAAAAAAAGATACATGGAACTATTACTAATAAAATGTTTAAAAAGATAAGTTTTGAGATCCTTTTTTCCATAGTTTTCGAGCACATACATGCAGCGAAGGATCTGTCAACATAAGTTTTACTTTTGGAAGAAGGTTCCAACAAAAGCTCATTTGCAACTGAGCTAAGGGATCGAGTAGATGTTCGATGTTGCAAACAACTAGACAAGTAGAATTGACAGGTTCCGTTCATTGACTTATAAAACAATAGAAGAATTTTAAAACGATTCGGTAGTGAACAGGAAGCCAATGTAGTGAAATTAAAAGTGGTGTGATATAATCATGTTTTTGAGACAAGATGACAACCCTAGCAGCCAAGTCTTGGACTGATTGCAGCTTTGAAAGAAGACGTTTAGGCAAGCCATTCATGAGTGAATTACAGTAGTCAAACTTCGTTGTTATCAAGGCATGGATTATGACCTCCACTGACTTTTTCGTCGAATATTTGCCAATTCTAGAAATATTTCTCAGATGAGAACTTGCAAACTTTCTTAACATGATTATCATAGGAGAGTGTTTCATCCATAATCACACCAGAATTAGTAGCCGAACCAGAAAAAGGAATCAAGTCATTTCCAACTTTGATTGAATCAAGTGAAGGACAAGACAAGTGCATAAGAACTGATATTGTTTTATCATCATTGATCGTTAATAATCCATTAAAGAGCATCCACCGGCGTATTTCAGCTATACAGTTTTCAATACAAGCCTTCACCAAGTCGACGTCACTATCCGCCTCAAACGACACATATAGACTCAAAAGACACATATGGATGAATATCATCAGCATATATATGATAATTAAGATCATACCTTCTAATGATATCAGCCACAGAGGCAGTATAGAGCAAATAAAGAATTGGACCAATGACAGAGGCTTGTGGAACTCCATATTTTGGGTGGAAGAATAAGTGCCATTGATATTAACAAACTGACTACGAGATGACAAGTACGATTTAAATTAAGCATGGAAATTTCCACTGATTCCAAATCGTTCTGCCATTCTAGATAATACAATCTGGTGCCCAATGGTGTTGAATGCAGCAGACAAATGAAGAAGAACAAGGATGACCGACTGCTTCTTGTTCAAAGACTGGAAAATATTATTTTGTACTCGTAATAAAGATGTCTCCGTGCTATGAAACGACTTGTAGGCTGATTGAAAGACTTCATGTAATTCATTTTCCACACGATATTCATTGAGCTTTGACAAAATTTTAAGATTCGAAACTGGTCTAAAGTTTTGAAAAATGTCAGAGTCAGCATTGACTTTCTTTAATAATTGATCTAACATTGCGATCTTTAAGGGTTCTGGCATTACTGAACTTTGAAAAGAGAGGTTAATTATATTTTTAAATTATTATTATTATAAATTTTCCAAACTAGCAGTAACAACTGAATGCTCTTTTTTGGATTTTTGGATTTGATTACTCAGGTACTGAGGAAGGCCATAAAGCCACACAAGACAAGCATATTCCATAATTGGTCCAATATGTGTGCAATAGGTTGATATCAGGGTACAAGAAGGTAAAGTATTTCTTTTAAGAAGGCGCAGACCATGCAAACGCTTCGCGGCTTTCTTGCAAATGTAGTCAATATGGCGGTTCCATTTAAGATTGTCTGAACGAGCAACGCCCAATAATTTTACCTCGGAAACAACGTCTGACTTCTTGATCACGGATGGTAATATGGGCACATGGTGGAATAAGCTGAGGAAAGCAGACACGCAATTTTTTAGTCTTTGATACATTTATAACTTCATATTATTGACCAATGACCATTCAGAGCAGCTGATAATGTTAGCGGGTAACTGGGACGGGAAATTGTTTGATATTATTTCCCAAAGGCTAGTATCATCTAACAGCCAAGTCATTACCATAATCAAAAATAAAAGCGAGCAAAGCTTTGTTCCTTGTGAAACGCCAACGTTTAAAAACTTCCACTCACAAAAGAACTGACCAACACTGGTTCTTTGTTTTCTGTCTGTGAGAATTGTTTGCGATCCAGTTGAGTAACACGGGATGAATTTCCATTTCGTTCAATTTTTTCAAAAGAATGTTATAATCTAATCGATCAAACGCCTTGGAAAATCAAGTAAACAAATCCGTATAGTGTTACCTTGTTTGTCAGCTTCTTCATACCATTTATGTAGCATGTAGATTAATGCCATACTAGTGCTTGAACTCTTCAGAGAACCAAAATGCAAGGGATCAATTTTTTTGAGGCTGAGTTAGGGAGCCATTTGTAGAGAAAAGATTCAACAATCTTGCTGATATTTGGTGTGAGGGAGGTTGGTCCGAAGTCAGAATCAACATCTGTAGGGGCGAAGAGTTTGAATTGGTGTAATAATTGCTGCCTTCAATATTGAGGGAACAAATATCTCACTAACTATGCATTAAAAATGGAACACAATGGTCGGCACAACACTGAAGCGTTTTCCCGGAGAAGCCAAGAAGGAATTTCTTCACGATCAGCAGATGAATAAGGTTTAGATGATAATAGAGCCTTTTCAGTCTCCTTGACAGAGATTCAGAAATGAAATGTCATTTCTGGGAAGGGGGAGCCAGTTCACACTGGGTAAGAAGCACCCTGCAGCAACAAACTTGTCATTGAGAAAATTTGATAGATCCGCATTTTGCCGAAAGACATTTTGCCGAACGGACATTTTGCCGACGGACATTTTGCCGAACGGACGTTTTGCCGAACGGACGTTTTGCCGAAAGGACAGTTTGCCGAACGGACAGTTTGCCGAAAGGACAACTTGCCGAAAATAGAGATGTTATTTCGTCAAAATGTTTGGGACTGTGACTCATTTCTCAACTTTGTAATTCTCAACCATTGTGTAAAATAACAATTATATGGTTATTAGCAGTGCATAATGGTCATTAGCTGTGCATAATGGTCGTTAGCGGTGCATAACCATATTGACTATTGGTAGCTTGTTTGTGCAGCGGATGACTCATTTGTTAGGAACGTGTTTTGACGTCAGGTCGTAAACAAACAAGCGTATACAAAGACAACGACGTAAGCGAATTTCACTTCGAGCATCAATGGAATACATTCACAGTTCTCTGGGAAATCGCATTCATCAGTGATGTTGAATGATGTTATTCTTTATATTGCGAAATTTCGGTAAACTTGTCAAAAACTTATATATAAAACGAAACTATACTACACTATCGAAGTTTCTGTCATCAAAATCGACAATGACTTAATTTAATCACAGAAACTTTGACCGTGTAAGCGAACCTTTAAAGTTCAGAAGATATCTCTATTTTCGGCAAGTTGTCCGTTCGTCAAACTGTCCGTTCGGCAAAATGTCCGTTCGGCAAAACGTCGGTTCGGCAAAACGTCCGTTCGGCAAAACGTCCGTCGGCAAAATGTCCGTTCGGCAAAATGTCTTTCGGCAAAATATCTTTCGGCAAAGTGTCTTTCGGCAAAATGTCCGGCCACCATGCTGTCTGCTGCTTAGAAATAAGAGATTTTATTTCGGAAGTAATCCGATGCTTCTCACTAGAATCGAGTTTGATTTGTTTTCAAGGCAAATGTTGGTATATAATAGTATCTACGATGGTGAAAAAATACTGGGACTGCTTGTCATAAGATTCCATATAGTGCAAAAAGTAACCAATTTACTTTCGACAGATGATCGCTAACAATGGGCGAGAGTCTTGTACTAAACGTGTAGCCCTTGTGTCACCGTAACAGTTAGCTGGGAGAGGTTTAAAAACGATGGAATTATGATCGGAATGTCCAATTGGAGAAATCACCGAGGCAGGGTTATAAAATTTAGAGGTGTTGGTAAATATTTTATCTACTAGACGTAACCACAGGTTAAAAAGTGCGACTTGGAGACTTTAGTCACTAATGGCAACGCGCTGGCTCACGCTGTTTAGGCCAGATAGTCATGGCCAGAAATGAGGGACAGTCAGCGAAATATACTGCGGGCGCAAAAATTCGCTAAATTCTGCAGCGTCAGCATAATACAGCCAGACATTAAAGGCATCTCAAGCGAATTTCGGAGCTAATTTTATATCAGTTAAAGACTGTGGCAACTATTTCCTTATTTACAATATTTTAATTGATTGAACACAATAGTTTCTAAGTCCAAAACTACAAAAGTACATCAAAATATAATGAATTTCGACGGATTTAAATTTGATTTTGGCGCGATTTTCCGCTATTTTGGAGCCCCCTGTCCTTTATAAACAACAATCAGCGGTTGTACGTACAAATGTTTTCAAAAATGGTTGACAAGAACCCACGACGACGCTTTTAAAACGTTCATAGTTTTGGGATTTCGCAGTGCTTTGTCCAAAACACTTAGTATTAGCTTACAGATCTCATGAAATACACGCTATTTTAAAGCTAAGATGAATCTAAATCAATACAAAAGGAGAGATCAACTGTCGTACAAGAAATGTAGACGTAAAAAATTCGTCTTCGAACTCTTGGAGCAACACTACACTGGCCTCAACTTGGTAAACAATGGGGATTTTACTCTACTTAATAGGAGTTTACATTGCGGGATTATGCTGTAAAATAGACACTTCCCGAATTTGCTTGAGTGCACACGAAACAATAGCTTGGAATCGAGGCGGACAATGTAATCATGTAGTTATTTACAATGATTACATTGTCCGCCTCGATTCCAAGCTATTGTTTCGTGTGCACTCAAGCAAATTCGGGAAGTGTCTATTGCGTTACTCGGGCGGAATAATGGCATATCGTGACACGTCAAGAGTTTCGGGGAATACTCGTCGATGTATTTCGTACATTTCTAGACGTAAACACTTTGCAAATTATATTTTGTTTCAGCATGAGCATCGCATTTGTATGATTATAGTATTAATTCTTAGCATTTCCGCCATCTTGAATTCGCAAAATTGGTCAGTTGTGCGCATAGTTAGCAGCCATAATGTCCCAAATTTCTGGCCATGTGGTGATCATCATTTACTTTTGCCAAAAGTCGGTCGGTCGGTCGTTTTTTTTAATTTTTTATACAACGATTTGCGTCAAATAAACATGCACATGACAAGGTACTTTATTTGATAGCTATATTTGATATATTCAAAATAAAAAACAATAACAACTTTTCAAGTTTATGCAAAGTAGTGGCGATAATATATGGGCCAATATTGCTCATTATATAATAAAAGTCGGCCAAATTTACACTGAATATTCAATTTAGATAAACTTATCAAAATATTAACTTGACTAATTGGTCTCCAATTACGCCACTTGCTACAAATTATTGTATTAAATTACATAACAAATAGTTACATTTGTGACTATATTGTCGCTACGGCGCAAAGTCGCTTTCTATGAATATTATAGCATGACGTGTCAACAACAGTACCGATTGACAAAGCGCAATTTAAAGATAAATATTAAAGCCCGGCACATGACTTTCAAACAACAGACGTTTCTTTGTATACATCACAACATCCTCATGCACAGCATTTAATGTTTTTGATTATTTAAATCTGTCTTCAATAACAGTTAGTAGATGCTAAGTTAAACTTCATTTGATGTACAATTTGATGAACAAAAGTTAAAGGTACATGTATAAAATTAAAATGCATCAGTATCGATGAGTAAATAAAACACTGGACGGCATAACAGCGGCGGAAATACTGTGTGTCATGCAGTCTTCCAAACATGGAAATATGTTCCAAATATGGAATGCAAGCCGAGGCGAATCGGTGAATCTTGAGCCGGGGCTAATCCGAACTCAGCGGTATATTTAAATTTTCTACGCACAGATTAGGATGCTCCCAGCTCGCTCGCTGGTCGCAAAAATATTCTTTCCTCTGGTTGCGTCTTTGACTAACTGCTTGAGGTTAAAGGAACTGCATAACTGGCAATGTTTAAATTGGTCAAAATCTCCAGCTAAAATAATTTCTGCACCGGGATTAGTGGAAAGGACAGATTCAATTGATTCGGTAAGGTGTGCAAGAAGGGCTTTATCGTTACTTCCAGGTGGATGGTAACGACTCCCAATACAATTGAATTTAGACCACGAGGCAAGCGGTGAGGTTTTAAGATTAACCAAAGCGACTCGTATTCATGACTTTCAATCTCTTTAAGATGAATGAAAGGTAGCATGTCCTTTACTAAGACACAGACCCCACTGCCGTCAGGCCGATCATGCCTCAGTAAGGAATAATCACTTATATCTATTGCTGAATTGGAAACATTTGAAGGGAGCCAGGTATTGGTAACAACGACAATGTCTGATGCATAGAATTTTACTAGCAGACAGTTCGTCAATCTTGCTGATCAGCGATTTTGAATTAGAAACAAATAAATTTGGTAGAGAAGAGAGTAAGAGCTTTTTTTGTTTGGTGGCCACCAATGTAAATTAAATTATTTTAACGGTTGGAACTTCTCCCTGACTGGTAATAACTTGGACGGGTCACTCTCGTATGACGGTGGGAAATTCGGACAAGGATGGCATGGAACGGCAATGTTACATTCAGGTTATCCGACTGACCAGATCTAAATGTCTGTAGCAATCGGGAGCACGTTGGTACGAACGCCTTATCCAAAAATTTTGATGTGCCACGACACTTGGAGGAGTAATAGGTGTATGCATCAAAAGAAAATAACCACCGTTTTGTGATCGTGGGAGTTTCTTGAGTCCAGTTTGTAATTTGTTAAAATAAGTTTTTCTTTGTTTTTTTTTTCGCTTTGATTCCATCATGTTGGTTTAGCCGCTTAGGAAACTGCTCAATGAAAGTAGGTCGATTTATCAAATCAAAATAACTCAGTTAATTTATGGTTTTTATCGCAGTGTTTACTTGGCTTGCCGACGTAATGCGTGATTCCTTCTGGATTAAGTGATTTCGACTTGGAGTATACAGTATTGTTGTACGCTTGGCTGATTTTTGCCCTTTATGTGATAAACTATCATTTCAATTTCGCTCGGTTGAGAACGTTCACTTGGGATTCTTAATAAGGCAGCAGGTTGGTTGTCAATAACAGGTATGTAACAATCGGCATTGTTAAAACTCTTTTGTAGATTATTCTCTGCCATAAAAGAAATATTGGTACCGCTAACATCTAGTGCGGGCAATAAGTTTCGTTCTGTCTGAAGAGAAGCGCTGATGTCTTTAAAGGATTAGTGTCAGGGTCATGCATTGCGGGCTTTTGCTTTTGTTCACATTTTACTTAAATACAACAAATAGCGATAAAAATACGTTGTCTGGTACATATCTGACAAAAAACACACAAAAAGTGCAAAGATTATAAAAGGATGGCTTAAATATATAACGGATTCTAAAAAATTTCCAGGTTATCTAATCTATTCGTCCTGAAAAATGGCCGCCAGCAAGATTTTGAGCCCGCAAATTCCTGGTGTGACACTAATCCTTTAAACTCGGTGACTTGAAGATCGTTAAATATTGGGTTGTTGTGATCTTGATGTTCGGTTTGGCTTTGTTTACAAATTGCCAACTTTATCCGATATGAATTATAATTGAAGGAGACGGACTTCTCATCAATGTGCTTAGGTTTAATAGTGTTCGTTGTCTCAAGATTTATGCACATATTTGAGGCTTGCAGTTTGTCATTAATCTTTTCAACAGTACTAATTTTACCCTGAAGGGAAGCTATTGTTTCCGATTAAGTTCGTTAACCTCAATATTTCTTTCTCTTACTAGCAAAGTAAGATCCGATTGAAGGCGATTACTTTTTTTCACAAGAAAGATTATGTTTAAGTTGGTTTATATTTGTGTGCGCGTTTACAAATTTGCTAATAACGGAGTCCAACTTATTCTCAAAAATTCGTTTACATGATAACTAATTCCAATTTTACCCCTTGAAGTTCGGCGGCCAAACCTCTACAGCTATAACCACAATTATTATTCAGTGCGATCTGTTCCGTCTGCGGCATGAGAGAAATTATTAATCAGTACAGAAGCCAAACTGTGATGAGTACTATTCTGTTTATCCAGTTTATTTCTAACCAGGCCAACAGCATCAGTGACAGCATTTACATTCTTATCCACGGTATTAGGGCCACTGAACGCGCTCGATATAGTTGACTGAGAGTATTTAGTTTAATCGCACTCAAGCAATTGCAGTGCCGTAGCAAGCTCGATAATTCAAGGGGGCTCATATTCACATATTCGTGTTCGCAGACCATAA